GAAGCAACGGGTGGAAACTAATCAAGGAGAGAAGCAATCTAGAACTAAGGAGAAACTTCCTGACAGTGAGAACAATTAACCAGTGGAACAACCTGCCTCCAGAAGCGGTGAATGCTCCAACACTGGAAGTTTTTAAGAAGAGACTGGACAGCCATTTGTCCGAAATGGTATAGGGTTTCCTGCCTGAGCAGGGGGTTGGCCTAGATGACCTTCAAGGCCCCTTCCAACTTTACTATTATTATTATTATTATTATTCACACCCTACTTGAGCTTCCTTCTCTCACAAGCATACTTCAAGATATATTTTTTTCAAATTTTGATAAAGATTTGTCAAAAGTGAAGCAAGGAAAGGGGTGGAACACAAAGAACACCAGTGAACAGATAATATTTTGCACATCATTTTTTATATACAAGGATCTAGATGGCTTTGTCTAACCTTCCAAATCTGTAAACTGAGATGGCAAAGATAGGGTTTCAAAATTAACCATTTTAGCCTGCAAATTCTGCTTAAGTTCTTCTAATTTTGCTGCTTATCTCCCAGCACAAACCCCATCCTTCTGCTTGTGAAATTCTGGGTCAAAAATACTTTCACAAGGTATTAATGACTTTTAAATGATGTTAAGGATATGAATAACATTAGCACTTTTTGACAGTTTTATCTGTTCTTAGCGTTTTTGAAAAGAACATTTGCTTTTTATATATTTATTATTATTGGCTACTCTGTATTTTTAACAACAAGGAACTTCCATTTATTTAATGAACAATTAATTGAGACTAACAATCTGGCTAAGAAACATTACAAAAGCCAATCACATTTGCAGGAGTGCAAATTACTTAGAAAAAGCCTTGGAAAATTTAAAAGAAAAAGAATGATGCTTGATGAATACCAATATTGGTACTTTATAAGCCTTTCCTATTATTGTCAGAGTTGAACCTGACTTGAAGACAGCTTTGGTTTTTCTTAGGGCCACTGACAGTATCTCCTCCAGCCTCCCCCCCCCCATCAGTCCCTAGTATTCAGGGCATTGCCTGGACAGCCAGCATATCAAATCTCTAACTAGTGAGAACCATGTGGAAGCAACACCCTTCAAAGTATCCTGAGCTGTTAGGATTTCATGTGTTCCAACCAACACTTTCAACCTTGTTCATTCTATTAATCAGTGGGGAACCAGCTGATTCAATGCCAAAGCAACAAAATGTGCATTCTGGCATAGTACTGTGACACTATACTGCCCTTTAAGACCTGTGACATGACACCAAGTGCATGCATGTAGTTTGTGTTGCTTTTTTGCAGTGGGTTTTATCAGCCCCTTCACACCCCAGAGTTGCCCAAGTGCTGTTTCCTAAGTAAAGATAAAAAAAAAGAAAATTCCTTATGCATTTTAATAGTAAATTTGCAAAAAAAAACACCTCGTCTTTCTTGAATCTGTTTCTGTACTTTACCAATTAAAAACTTAAATGTTGAACGATCAAGGTCAGGAGAGTGGAGAGATGAGTCTCCGGTGTGGTGCCTATGAGCACAAGTTGACCCACCAAGTCCTTCTTGATGGGAATATAACATCTGTAAAGCAGCTAACACGAAGCATTTCTCAGCACTCTGTACCAAGATTTTTGTGGGGGAAGTCAGACCAGAGCTTTAATATACCCTTCCCCTTTCTGCAATAGGAAGATTATATAAAGGAAGAGCCCTTGTTTGCAGGAGAAGAGAGAAGACCAAGCCAAAGAACGTGGCAGACAAATACTTGCTAAACAGCAGAAGGTAAGAGTTATAGGTCCAGTTTGGGGATGGGGACATAGTCAGGCAGGGAAGAAGGCAGCCTTTTTATTATAAAAAGTTTTATACAACTGAGTGTTCAATCTCGTTTGTTCTAAAACATTCTTCCTAAAGTTGTTTAACCTACTCATGTATTCTATCCCTATGCCACTAGTCTTATCGCTTATAATCCAAGATCCTATTTTATCTCTTAACCAATAACTTACATTTTATGCTATGCTTTCTGTCCTATACTTATTGCATTGTATATATTTTTCACACTGAAAACCTGCTTCAAGATCACATGGTGTGGACGAGATAGAAAGAGCTATCTAGCACTTGGTCCTGCTGTCCGATAGAATTTGAGTTTTTTTCATAAACTCTCTTCTGCTGCTAATAACTGCTCTAGGCCTGAAGCTGTGCCCTTAGATACATTCTTGAAATCTCAAAGGAATAGCTAGTCTTTGGATTGCTCTTCAATGCCAGTGCTGTGAGCTGTTTTCTGGCTCACTACCAGTGACTGAACTTCTGCTAGAAGCTTGGGGGTCCTCTGATGTCCCTGGATCACTGCTGTCATTCTGGTGTCGCTCTCTCTCCTTCATTGCTGCTTCTGCTCTCTCCTAGCTCTTCAGAGCTTCACCTTCAGGGCTTCAGCTTTCTTTCTTCGTTTAGCTCTCTTCCTTCCCAACAGTACAACCTATTCTGATGTAGTCGAGCCCTTTATAAAGGGTAAGCTCATAATAGGAAACTGCACCAGTATTTTGTCTTTTAAAAAAAAATGTCACTATTTTAGTTTTTTCAGGAAGCACATTATATAGGAGATGGACAAGTTAAGTCTGAGGCAGCTGTTGATGATTAATAACAGGAGCAAAGAAAGAAATGAGGGACTTTGAAAGGAACATAGAGAGGGCTGAACTGTTTCATGATATTTATTGTGAAGCAAGTGGGAGAATAATGGACAATAATCTGAGATCAGGCCTCTGAAAGGCACAGAGAATTGTGAGTAACTTCATGGGTCTATTACAAAAAAGGGGCTACAGCACTGGAAGTTGGACTATAGAATAAAACATAACTTCTGGTTATGGGAAGGCATCCTATTCAGGTTATTCAGGTGTCCAAGCAGAAACACCAAAAAGGGAAGGGGGGAGCGAGCAAGAGAGAGAGGGGGGGGGAGGGAGGGAGAGGGAGAGGGAGAGAGAGAGAGAGAGAGAGAGAGAGAGAGAGAGAGCCTTTCTCTAACACTGTTCATCCAGATAATTATGGACACTTCCAGATGACAGACTGTTCCATTATCCATTATTTTTTTCTTTATTTCAAAATTAGAATGAATGAACCAGGACTGTTCATACCATTTCACTCATCAAGACACTAGAAACATTTTATTACGGCTAATCTGACCAGTTCTGGTAGCAGTTGATAAAGTTTCATTCCTGCCCACCATGGTAAGCAAGACACATCACAGCCATTCAGTGCTCATCTACTGGCCAGGAACAGACTTCCCCATCTTCTCCATTTTATATTAATAAACAAATCCCTTCCCCGAAAAAGAAAGTAAATTAAGTATCCCATCTTTCTATAATGGTGGCGTATTTGGGGGACTGGATGAGACGAAACAGGCTCCAACTCAATCATAGCAAAGCAGAGTTGCTATGGGTTCTTGGACCCTGTGGAGACAAGGACTTTGCATCTTTAGTTGTGAATAGGGTTAGTGTAGACTTGTGCACAATCTGGGGCTCCTTCTAGACTCATGGCTCCTGCAGTTGGCAGGCCATGGCTAGGAGAGACTTTGCACACCTTCAGGTGGTATGCCAGTTGCATCTGTTCTTGTACCTAGAGGCCCTGCTCACAGTAACTCAAGCCCTTTTAACCTCTCATTTAGATACTGCAAATGTGCTCTGTATGGGGCTTCCCCTGAAGAAGATTCAAAAGCTTCAACTGTGGCAGAATGAAGCTGTGTGAGTAATGAAAAATGCCAGATAGAAAACATATAACACCACTTCTGCATGAGCTGCATTGGTTACTGGTATGTTCCTGGATGCAATTTAAGGTGCTGGTTGTCACCTTTAAAGCCCTACATTGTTTGGGACTGGGTTACCCAAGGGGTCGCTTTTCCAAGAATCTCTACCAGTATTTGCTATATTTACACATCTTTTTTTTAGCCTATCTTCTTTTTACTGGTTTCAGGATGTGCTGTATGTATGTGAAAAGTCCAGTCCTTTCTGATCATCTCTCACTTGCTTTAACCATTGATATACCTGTTGTACATGCAGATAGGAAAGGATGAACCAATCAGGATTTATAGGTGCTTGCCCTTCTCTTTGTATGCAGAATGCTTGTTGAAACTGTGACCAGTGAACAGAAAGATATGTGTGTGCCAGTATCTCCATAGAGTGACCAATAGGAAGACAGACATTGCCCCAATAAAATTAAATGCAGGTGTAAGTTGGAAAATATCACACATGAAGCAGATGAGACAAGGAAGCTCAATTGCAAGCTGCCATCCATGCTGAGACAGGGCAAGATGAAACTGATATGATCTGTTCAAGCCTCTCAATGAGACTGATGAAGCATTGCCTAGCTATGGTTAACAATTTGTGTGGAAGAACCCAAAATCACAGCAATCTATATTAGTTCATTCATTCATTCATTCATTCATTCATTCATTCATTCATTCATTCATTCATATTGCTTGAGTGCTAGCGACTTTGAATGGTTGACATTGAACAAGCACGAGGCAAAGCATGATAATTTCCAGAGGATTTTGGAGACATGGTGAAAGTTTTGAGTGCCAGAGCAGTAGTGGAGGGCCTTCTGTACCTTTGCAAGCTGTGGCTTTCATATTTACATCCAATGATTTGCTTGTAGCTATGATGAGTAATTGCAGTAAGCCTTTTTTTAGTAAATGCCTAAAGCATTTACAGATACCCATCACGTGTCTTCCCCAAGACACGTAAGACAACTCTGCAATCACCTGAAGGAAAAGCTTAGGACCCTCAGGATCAGGGGACCAAGACTAAGGGAAAACCAGTTACAGGGACTCATTGTTAACTGTATATTGCTTGTTCCTTGCTTATGTCCATGTCTCCTTCCAAGGATTTGTTAATGTTTCTAGAAATAAATTATATACGAAAAAAGATAATTGCATATCATCAAAGGTGCTGTGATGTGGCCCTCAAAGAGAAATGAAGTGGACTAGAGGGACCTGTGCCTAGGCCTGCATGACAGGCACGCAAAAAATGGGACTCCTGCCCAAAATGAGCTTTTCATTTTGAGCTTTTCAAAGTTCTGAATAAGTCATGATGACAATGTTTTTAAGACTGTATTTTTATAATATTTTCTATGTATTTTTTCCTGTTAGCCATATTGAACACATTTTTTTCAAAAGTAACAATGGGATGCAAGTCCAATTAATAACAACAGCTAAGTAATTTTTTTCTCAAAACACAGAAATTTGGGGCAGAATCTGGCATGCAGTGAAAATCTTATATTTTATAAACTCCAGTCAGCCCATTTTATATTGTATAAGCAAACTGCTATAGAAACTTAGCTGAAAAGAACTCTAATAATTATGACTGAAACGTTAATTATTTGGGCAAGGTAAAAAATTGTTCAACTTAAGAAATACTTTTTACCTGTGATCCTGTGGAGTACCGTCCAGGAGTTCGTGACCCAGAAGTTTTTCCTGAGCCGATGGAGTTCTCTGTACTTTTCCCACTACAACAATGTGTACGCAGACATTTCCCATATTCTTTACGTACCTAACAAATTAAATTGTGATATTTATTAGCAGGAAATCCATTCTTCAATTTTGAAAATGATTATGTGTGTGCATATTGGGAAATTGACTCAACTATAATTGTTTCTGAATATCTATTAGAGCTGCTACTGTCATATGTTAAAATATATAGTATTTGTTATGAAGGTGTTCAATTAAAAATCCATACTTTTCAAGGAGTAATAAGAAATAAAATTTTGGGGGTACAAAAGGAAAATCTATCTATCTAATTCAGAAATTTCCATTTTCTTCTATCAATATGCTCTACATCATTGTATTTATGGTTCATTCATTCATATAATCACCTTTCAACATAGATAAGTACAACATGATTGAATTTTTTAAACTTTAAAATATAAACCAGCAAATTGAAGAGCACGAGAAAACATAAAGCAGAGTAAATCCACCTAAAACCTCTTCAAAATGAAGTAGAATAGAACAATGTACCCTATCTATGGCTATGTAGATCAAAAGACATATAATCAGGATCAGAGTCACATGTATTTCTTGCCAACTCTATTGAATTTAATTTCTCAGCAAATTATTATTTGTAATATAGTCACTAAGATGCAGATATTTTTATGCTTTATGTTTTTAACAAATTTACATGAAAAACCTCTATATTCTGTTAACTGTTAAGTCAATATTTATTTGTGTTTAGCCAGAGTCCATTGCAATAGAAACGTATAAATACAGGGAAAAAAACCAGAGCATAAATTGGGAAACTAAGAAAAAACCCTCACTTAAATATATTTTCCTATTATTTGTTTTAAATTTTGAATATTATGTTTTAGTTGCTCCTTGAATATTCAATATGAATAGAGAAGTAGAATATAAATTCAACCAATCAATCTTTAATAAATAAATCAACTGCAGTTCCAGACAAACACAGCTTTCTGGCTATTAATGCAAGCCATACAAAATGATTCTCAACTACTTTTAACTCAAATTCCATTCCATGAGACCATTTCATTGCTGACTAAACTGTGACAAAAAATTTCTTCTTGATTAAAAATGTTTCAGCTGAATTTTGTGCTAATTGGAGATAGCAACTCAGAAGGACTTAATGTAAGTAATAAACCAATTTATTGGTTTATTAATTTTCTACCTCTCTTTTCCTACAATAAACAAAGTGACTTATGACAAATGATTTGTGCCCAGTATGAGGATGCGAGAGAGTAGCTCAGTTAAAAAAATTCAGAAAGATCATTACTCCTAAATTTCATTACTTTCATTTTCTATAATCAGATTATGGCTATAGCTATTAACTGAGACCTAATAAGAAATCTATAAGTGAAATACAGCAATGAAAAGATAGAATTTCTTTAAAAAGAACATGAACAATGGAAAAGGAGGAGAAGTTACACTGATTATTAAGAAATATCCCCAGCTTCTTAGAATTAAAGACCAAGAGAAGCTGGATATTGATGACATAATCATATGCTTATAAGAACTCACCAAAAGAATTACTAACACACAGTCCAGGTAAAATAATGCCCATGAGATCACAGAAGCACCCAGACTCCTACTAAGCTAAATATACTAATATACTAATCATTTTTAATTCAGCATATCCTAGAGAACTGTTTACTTGTCTAAGATTGGAAGGCTCCTGCTTCCCATTCAGAGCAAGGATCAATACTGTATAACGTTTTCTCTTCAATGGTAGCTAGACATCTTCTGCCAGAAAGCCTTTATATTCAGTTACTCACTTCTGAAGTATAATGCTTCAGATTCTGGAAATCCTATTTAGCTATTTAGCTATTTTGCATTTCTTTTCTCAATTGGACTTTAAAGATATTGAAGAGGAAATATTTAGCAACATCATCATCATCATCATCATCATCATCATCATCATCATCATCATCATCATCATCATCATTATTATTATTATTATTATTATTATTATTATTATTATTATTATTATTATTATTATTATTATTATTATGTATTTTGGCATCTGAATTTCACCTAGAACGTGCCCTTGTTGTCATTTGATGTATTTTATTGGTGAACTTTTCAAGAATACCTAAAGAATTTAACTGGTCTCTAACACCAACTTCCACACACATGTTCTACCTGGAAGTGTCCCATTTGTGTCCCTATCATTTCAGAAAAGTATCCAAAATGAAATTCCTAATTTCTGAGCTCAAAATAGAACTTCTTTGAATTTGAAACAATTCTAGAATAGTTTCTAGTATAGAATATCAATTGATTATCAAAAAGATTTTCGCTAAAAATATGACCGATATTCAAAAAAGATCTCTGAAAGTTAAATTAGGTATACAAGTGGTTTCTAAATTTAAATATTTAGGGATAGTCATTTCCGTGCGTTGTTCGTCAATTAAAGAAGATAATTATGTCAAACTAATGCAAAAAATTAAAGTGGATCTAGAACGTTGGAAAAATTTACACCTCTCATTACTTGGGAGAATTGCTGCTGTAAAAATGAATATCCTACCCAAATTAATATTTTTATTTCAGAATATTCCTTTTTTTTTAGATAGGTCTTTTTTTAAGGAGTTAAATAAAATAACCTTAGACTTTGTATGGGCTGGTAAGAAGGCCAGAATAAAATTAAAGTCTTTACAGGATGCTAAGGAAAGGGGTGGTTTAGGCTTTCCTGACTGGGAAATATATTATCTGACAACTCCCAGGTTTTTAATGTTGGTACACCTCTGCCCAAAAATTAAAGTATAAAGGGAGATCTTCAGGGGGATTATGTATTCTTACTAAGGAAGAATTGCAATAGCGGGGTGAGAAAACATATAACAGGAATAATTGGCTTCATATACTGGCCATGAAATTCAGATATAAAGATTTTGAGCTTGTACTGGTAAATGTTTATATTGCATCAAATACATCGTTTTATTAAATGATATGATTACAGTCAATATAGTGAACTTCCAAATACATTTTTTGATAATCATCATTGGCATTCAAGAGAGAAAGATAATACTGCTGATCTAAACTTGACATTGCTGATTTTTAAATGTGATCTTCAAATTCTGGAAGGATTATGTATACCCATCTACCTTACACTCAAATGTGTTAGATTTAATTTGTGTATCAAAAAGTAAAGCTGATGTTCTCAGAGGTCATTGTCGATCCAAGAGAGAGTGATCACCAGCCAGTGAGTGTGAACTTCCTAATCTGTTTGGACTTAAACTCATATAACATGGGTTATAACTTACTGAGAGGTGAGTCAGAATAAAATAAAAGGTTAATATGGTCCAAAGAATGTCTATCAAGGCAATGCTGTATAGTCTCAAATCAGAGAATGCTATCAGTTGGGTCTTGCTCTCACTCATGGCTGACAATCAGTCTTCAATGTATTCATAAATTTGTGCCATAGGTTGAGAAAAAACATGTATTAACCAAACCCTCCTCCAAAAGTTTCCTTATAGATAGAGCTCCCTGGTTTGACAATGATGAAAAAGCAATTGAAGACACAGATGAGATTTGCTCCGAGGCATTCCTTTGTACATATATAGGCTAGAATGCTGTCTCTAAGAAGAGGATATAAAAAGCTTGTTAAATCAAAGGGGGAAAAAAGCCATGCTGCTTCAAATTGATCAGGACATGAGCTGTCAGCAAGAAGTCATAATTCAGCTATATTTTGGCACTCTGTAGCTGGGATCCTGAAAGAATGGAGATTCATATTCAATATACCAATCATAGTTGAGGATTGGGAAAATTATTATCATCGCCTGTTTGCTCTCTGGAACCTGTTGAGAAACAGTTACTAAATAACAATTTACCACCAACTGAAACTATACTCCTCTGGCCACCAGTATTAAAAAACGAGATTAAATCTATTACAAAAGGCATGAAGAGCAATGAATAAAGCTCCTGTTGAAGACCTTCTACCAGCCAAGCTATTCAAAAAATACCCAACCATGGGCCCCTCTCTTGGTGGGTTTATTTATACATATAAATAGCACCTGCCGTACCGCAGCCAAGGGGAAGATGGGAGTTGTAGTTCCTAAAAAGGATCCTAGCAATTACAGGCTCATGCATCTAGTAGGTACTGTGGCTAAAATATATGCCAGGTTCCTCTTGAGGAGAATTGAGAGTTGGGTGGCTGACAAGTACTGCACATTCTTGCAAAAGAACAAGCTGGTTTCAGGGACAGTCAATCCACTATTGCTTTGTCTTGAACCATCTAATTACTAAATATGTCAGTTAGGGGAAACAGCTGGTTGATGCCTTTATAAACCTTAGTTCAGCATTTGAGTAAACAGAAAAATATTATAGAGAAAATTAAAATTAACTGTCCTCAATACAGAACCCAGCCTGCTTGCACTGACCAAAGTCCTTTATACAAATACTGTAAAGAGTATACTGTAAACTGATTCAGGGTGAGGTTTAGGATTAAAGAAGTCATGACAAGGAGGACTGACTGTCTTACTCACAAAGGGGTAAGACAAGGGTGCATAGTTGCACCACTGCTATTCACTCTATATGTTAACGACTTACCACGACTGATGAAGGATTCTGAACTACACATGACTATGATATTCAACATACGTTGCTATGTGTTGACAATATGATTTTTACTACTCTACTTTGGGTTTCATTGATTGTTAGGATTTCGCTACTACTGCCCTAATAATTCTTTGATTATTAATACATCAAAATAAAGATCTTTTTTTAAAAACACCATCTCAGCCATAGATGGCTATTAAATGGTGAATCAACTGAGCAAGCCAACATCTTTCCTTATCTAGATGTAGTCTCCTATGAGACTGGATCTTGATTCCCTCATCATCAAAGGAGTTCACCCTGAGAAGGGCAGATAGAAATTCAATGTTAAAAATAACAAAGCATTATGATTTAAATTCTTTAGGCCCAATTATTAAGGCATGCAGAGTCAATACTACCCCTATGCTTTTATATGGAGATGAGTTTGGGGATTACAACATATGCCATTATTAGAGCAAACAAAATCATAGCATCTGAGTAGTATTTTCGGTGTGGATA